CCCCGCCAGGCCGCGAGCCGCGATATCATATTTCGTGGACGACGCTACCGACAAGGTGAGCAGCGCTACCGACAAGGTGAGCAGAGCGACCGACAAGGTGAGCGACGCCACCGACGAGGCGAGCATCGCCACCGACAAGGTGAGCGACGCCACCGGCGAGATCGGCATCGAGACCCACAGGGTCTACAACTACCTCAGCGAGGACATCAATATCATCCACTTCAAAGGCTCTACGGTTTGGTGGGACTTCTTATCTTATTGATATCGGGAGCTACCCTTAGTACGAGAGCAGTATACCAGTCAAAGTACACGTACTCCCCGACTCAGAACATATACGGTAAAGCTTACAGACCCCCGATTGAGAACCTACAGATCAGAATGGAGTACTCGAGACCGCAGTCACTACCATTGGAGGGGAGCACGAGACAAGCACCGCCCGGCTGGAAGCCGGGAGTAGCTCGGTATGGCATCAAGAAATAGTTGAAGAAGTTATCGCAGTGGTGGAAAACCAAAAATATCGATGATGACAGCGTGGCAGCACTCTTGGTGCTGCAACGCCTCCAAGGAGGCGCGCACAAACAAGCAATACTATTCAAGGTCGAGAGATATGGTCAATAATTCGCTGGAGAGAACGCCTTTGCAATGGTGCGTACGGAGGCATATCCAGTTCATGGAGCGCTGGCCCAACCATCGGGCCCGTCGCTATTTACCCGGTGGTTGGAAGCGGAATGCGGATTGCATGATCAAGATGCAGTAGGAGTGGCGCTCGACAAATTCTTTTCATTCAAGAGAGGTCCGAGAGACCTCGGACAATATATATACATATATATATATATATGTATCAGACTTTGAACTAGTGTATGATGAGGCAGTGGATCAAGCTGGACTCAGTATCAACGCGGCTGGCAAGAGCTATTTGTGGCTGCAGGGACGCGACTCATCGGCCAAACGCATTGACGACATCAAGCTCGAGATCGACGGCGACCTCCGGAGATATAATCCTTTCAAAGCTATCATGGCACGTCTTGCCAAACAGTCTCTGGCCCAGAACAATCCTGAGCAATGCGAAGGCTATTGGATCGACTCAGACGATGAGAATTATTGGGAATACTACGGATACTACGACGATTACGGCCAGTGGCATGATTATGATGATGAAGACGACTGGCGGGACTACTCACATGATCAAGAGTACGACGACAACGGCTATTCACCACCGGCGTTGAATTCGGACGAAGCGCACAAAGGATCCGGCAAGGGTAAGAAAAACAATCCAGGTAATCGCAGTAAGTGTGTATCACGCCGGCGCAAGACGGAGGATTGCCCGGCTGGTTCCAAGAAGAAGACGAACAACAAAGGCGACAACAACGGCAAAGGTAAGGGCCGATCCGACTCGAACAGCGGCAACAACGGCGAGAACAATGGAACAGGTAAGTACCGCAGTGGCAAGTGTCGCGGCAAAAGCAAAGGGCGAGGAAAAGGTTCTATCGAGGACGAGGCAAAGGTAAGAGTAAGAAGAGCAAGGGTCACAACGGCGAGTACGAGGAATATGATTACGACGATGAATGGCACAGCACTCATGGCAGTTGGTATTCAAAAGGAATTACGGATAATAAGGACACGCCGTGGACAGCCTTGACCTATCAGGAGACGCCCAACGCAGCGTCGTGGTCTTCGTTGCAGACAGTACCCTCATACAGCCTCGATGATTCTGAATCTCCCGACCTAGGACAAGGATTTCAAGAAGGACCCTCGAGATCATTTCCATCCGCACCGACAGCCGCAGCTGAACCAACAACTCCACGACGACCATCGAGGAACAACCAGAAGGAGTTTGGAAAAGATATGGGATCACCGGTCACCTTTGACGACGACGACAACCAGTACGAACCCAAGAGACTTCCCAGAGGTATTGTTCCTGGCGGCTTGGAATTCTTGGTAAGAGAAGTACATAATCTATGTTATGATAAGCGGCACTCGACGACGGATGGCCACCAAGCGGAAGAAATCAACGCGAGTTATCGCACTATTCGAGGTGCGAGAAGGTTTGACTTGTTATACGATCCCGGAGCATCCTCAGGTATTATTGGAACGGATGCGGTTCGGGAGTATAAGAGATAAATACTTCGTGGTGCAGATATCGAGTCAAAACCAACGCGAGGTCAGTTCACCGGCATAGGCGGCGAAAACACTCCAGGCATTGGTAAGGCAGTGGTACCGCTTAAGATCCCAGCCATGCGAGGTGCGACATTCACAGGAGACATGATTAGCGGCATGGAAAGGTGGTGTCCAGGGTCATGCCATTACCGACCTCTCTTCGATATCGAGCGAGCATGTTCGCAGCAGTATTTGGCAACGGTGATGGCATTTTGGTAGTATTTCCAGAGACTCGACGACTCGGCAACAAAGCGCCGCCAGTATGCATGCCATTGTTACCCGCGGGTTCTCGACACTATATCATACCAACGGACCGCCGACATATTCGAGAGGAAGTTGATCAACAATACCTTCGCGATATCAGTAGGGGCCACCTCCAGATCCTCTAGCAGTTCAAGCCAACCCGCTCGGCTGGCCAATCGGCAGAGTTTCAAGTCGTTGAAGCACCTTTGGACACTAGCACTGGAGCGAAGTCTACGAGCTTTGCAGGACATGGTTCGGAACTACCCGAGGAAAACATCATGAAGCAGTTGAGTGACCTGGGACAAAGGATGGGCGACCTTCGAGAGCGCATTAGATCACCGACTCATCCAGGGACACACCACTTCGTAAAGGCCAAGGCCGAATTCTCGATACACAAGTGCGACGACGACGACTGCCCCTCAAAGCATCAATACCCGACGAGACGAACCACCATCACGAAGACCCAGCGTTTTTGGAAGACCTGGAGCGCCTTCAGGGGTAAGTATTACACGGGAGACATTATCCCAGAAGGTCTGGATCAAGCCCAACAGGATCGCTTCGAGAAGAATCACCACGTCATTCCGGAAAGATTCTGCACCAAAACAAAGGTCGTGATGATCACGCCCCAGAACGCAGACAGCTTTCTGAAGCATTTCAGGGAGAACAACGTGACGAGCGCGGACATACAAGAGCATTTCACTGGCAGCAGTACGTTATCCTTCTGTGCGTATCGAAGCGACCTCTCGGCACTATTTCCTACGGATGCTCGATATGGTTGGAACTTGAGTTCGAGGGGACATCCAGAAATTTTCAAACGTTCCCAGGAGGCCATTCGAGATCAGGCTAAGATCCACACTCCAGAATGCACACCTTGACCCCAGGCAAGCCAGACGGCTGATCCCAATATCAAAGCAGCAAACCGAGTAGCAGATGAACCAGCTTTTCAGTGGATTACGAACGAGAGCAAGACGACTCATACCGACGGCACCGACTACATCATTGGGAACCCGGCCAAGAGCGCCATATGGGAGGAATCGCCACTGGAGGAGTGGAAGACTGACGAGCGGATGTACAACGACATATGCGAACAATGTCAACATGGGGCGCAAGACTCAGAAGGAACGCCGATTCAAAAGAGAACAAAGTTCATGGCATCATTCCGAATGAGACGAGCATCAGTTTTATGTCAAAGTGTTCGACCTCATGCGTGGCTTGTCGGAGGATCACAGACGTCCAGGGCCGAGATATTCACTGGGCAGTTTTGCAAAAGTATTCTGAAAGATATCGGCAATAGGATAGAGATAACTCAGAGGACGCCACTGGACCTATTATCTTGGACGCGTGATCGCTGTAAGCATGGAAATATGGCCGGCACTCCGCACGCTCGAGTGAAGGGCTGCAGGTTCGATCCCAATCGTGGGCCTCCTAAGGCGGCCGGGCCACCTCCAGCACCAGTCGCGCCCAATGCCCCAGCGCCAGTCCCGAAAGTACTTGCGCCAGTTCACGCGCCATTTCAAGCGCCAGCTCCAGGGCCACCTCCAGCACGTGCGCAGGCACCTGAAGTACCAGAACCAGAACAACCCATACCAGCACCATCTCCAGGACTTGATCTCATACGACTGGACACAAGTGAAAAGGGCGATGCCACGGACCAACCAGGAATCAACGCAGAATCGTCGAGAAGGCGGCCACCATCAAGCCCAATTTCGACTTACAGCGCTCCAAACATCAACTCGAAGAGGCGGCTTCGGATCAAGCGAGTCTGGCACTACTACTGGGATTTCATTTCAAGCTCTGGCATGCGACCCCAGATGAGATGGCGAGATTGCTAGCAGCACTGGGAGTGGGAGCAAGCATTATCAAGCTTTGCCCACAAGCTGTCAAGGAGCTGTGCGAAGGATGTAGGAAGTACTTCATGCCACTTCACCGAGCGGCATTCAGGGCACATATCACGACGAAGTTCAACGAGCGAGTTCAAGAAGATCTCTTCTTGCTGTGGGATATGGCATGGCTTATTCTGGTGGGCGAACATATTAGGTACAAGGTCATCGGCGTGATGAAGGACAAGACCGCACCATAATACTTGCGCTGCATGGTAGAATGCTGGATCAGATTCTTCGGACCCATGGAAACATTCGTTTCAGATCAAGAAGGTTCCTTGACTTCAGATCTCGTGGGAACCACACTGGACATACTCACTATCAAACGAGAGTTCGCATGTACCGACCCGAACAAGGAGATCAAAACCATTATTGGTTTGGTGGAATGACACATTCGAATGACCAAGTCGATCACCCTGAAGAGCGCAGTTGTAGCCGAAAGGAAGGTGTGAACATCTCCCAGGAGACCCTAGTCTATGAGGCAGCGATGGCACATAACCTCCTCCTCAACTTCGGTGGCAGTGCTCCGGCCAACGCTCTCCTCGTCTACACTCCTCGAGATTTCTATGGCGAGAACTCGGCGACGACCATGGCACATAAAGAAGCATAGGAAATCTCACCAGATACATTCGAGTCAAATGTTTGAATGAGATTGCGATCAAAGCAAAATGCGCCCAGGGCGATCGTGGAATAACGGCTTGCTATTGCCAACAAATCCAGACCACAGAAGCTCGACACGGAGACGATCAAGGTCGGCGACCAGGTGGACTTGCATCGGACCCCGAACAAGAAGGGTCAGGGGGGCTGGCGCGGACCTTGTGACCTACTACACGTCGAAAGTACTGGAGCTACTGTGGTATGGAATGGCTACCCCTACGTCGTCCCACTTAGACACATCAGGCGTCATCAGCGCCTGACGGCATGGGTTTCCTGTCATCAACGCCAACACTCAGTGCTTTCATCATCAATGCACTTGGTCACGGACTACACCGACATGCTGGACATCGCGGAAGGCACGGTACCGTTCAAACCACAAGTGGTTGGAATGACTGTTGGCAACAATGGCGAGTTTCAACCATCATCGAGCATGGGCGGCTCTCCACCGCTGATCTGGAACCTGGCTGTTAAGTGCGCTGAGGACGAGTGGGGCATCAAGATCGATGGCATCGCGTTTGGCAGGTGCGCACGCAGATTGTTCACAGCGACTGGAACAACATTCGGCCGACAAGTTACCTGGGACTGCGCGCGGCGAGAGAAGTGCGTTATGACAGACATCAATCCCAGCAGGCAAGTTTTGGACATACTCTCTCTCGTCAAAACCATGAAAGACACGAACAGCTGCAGCATTCTTTTCTATTCATTCACCTCCATTCAGGAGGGCGACGAGACCGGGCTGTACAGGATCCCGGACTTCTCGGACATATCATCTATTCCTCCAGATGACGACGATGACCTAGACTTACCACTCCAGTGGCCATAATCACCTGAACCAGCATCAGCGAGACACCATGCGCCACCGGCACCACCGACAGCAGTTCCCAAACATGGACCTCAACCAGTTCTTGTCGAACCATTCTCGGACGGAGGGCCACCGCCAGATCCACCTGGCCCCGGACAAGCTATCGCCGCGGCGCCAGTTCCAATGGAGTTCCACATCAGTGACGCAGCATGGCCAGACGGAGAGGTCAGCACCATCGACGTCAATAATATTCCACCGAGACCACCTTTTCCTCCACGAGCACCTCAACGAGCACGCATCAGGAATGACGACAGTTGGCAAAATAATCAGCGAACCAAAGAAGACACACACACCAAGACATCGAGGTGGACGATCACAGTATGATCAGTGACGAGCAGTTCGCGCCAGAGGTTTGAGGATCGGGAGCTCCACCACCATCGCCTCCAGCGACTGATCAAAGGATCCCACAGCAGACCTTTGGATGGAGACCTCCACTGCCGACGACTACAGCAACGCCGCAGACTCGAGCAATGCCGATGCCAGTCCGACGGGAACTCAGCAGATCACTTCCACTACGCCGAAACGAACCTGGCACCTCGAGCTCAGCAGGCTACTATCCACCATCGAAGGAAGCAGATTCGACTAACAAGGTACATACTCCGACGACGACAGTAACACCGGCAAGGACTACGATAACACCCACGGAATCTTCTTCACCCAAAGCCTCATCTCCAGCCTCAGCAACCTCACTCTCCTCTCCCCAACTGGCAACGTCGACGGCAACGCCGACGAATATCACGAATGACCCTCAAGCAGCTAACTCACCTCAGAGGCCTCTTCCCATAATTTCCACTCTTCCGACTAGAGTGGCACCAGCGTCCCCAGCAGCGACTACGCCAGAAGTGGACAAGAGCACGATCATCTACAACGGTTGACTACGGGCCTGCTGAGGAACCAACACTTGACTACGGATCTCCAAAGACCAACATCTCAGCAGAGATCCCACGGCAGACGCTCAAGTGGCAACACCAGAAGGACCACCTCATAGTACGAAAAAACACGACTTATCGACTGAGCTAGACGCGGTGAGGATCAAAACTTCACCCTCGCAGCCACCTGATATCAAGAAGATGAGAGCAAGCTCAGAGCCACCAGACGCTAGGAACTTGGACATCAAGAGACTTCTGCTTGCATTGGAACCACTACCCTCAACGCTGACCGACACCAAGCGACCCAAGACGATGGAAGGTTTCATGGCATTTGGTGATCAACAACTTGGCGTTCATCATTTTCAGGATCGTCACCTATACAGCACGTACATGGATTCTGAAGAACTCAAGGAGTCCCAGGCGATCATGACCAGCATGGCTCAGGAAGTCTCTAACAACTTGCAGAGGATGAGTGACAGTCAATTGGCGTGGACGGTAGATCAAGCTCGCTGGACCATTCCAGGGCCTTTCATGGATATCCAGAACTTCTATTTCGACCTGATTACTGGAGACGCAATCTTTTCTCAAAACGACGATATACTAACAGAAGAAGACCTCATCAAACTCTGGCATCGAGTGGAAGCAGCAGACCGTCAGGAAGCGCGATCTTTCATAGACAACGAATGCTCCAGGCCAGTTCACCATAATAACATGGACAGCTCGAACGTTATCGACGCAGCATGGGTGAGACGTTGGAAGAAGGTCTTCGACAAAGAAAACAAGATCACCTGCATCATCAAGTCACGCCTGTGTGGCCGAGGCTTCCTAGACGCACAAGAGCAGAACGCCATGGGGCACTCATCGGCCGCTTCTCGTTTATCCCATCGAATCGTGGCATCCTTATTTTCAACGGAGAAGAACATAACCATGGAGACATGGAACATTCGACCGCCTTCTTGCAGGGATTGAATTGCGAGCAGCTCAGGAAGCACGCCGAGAGGATGGGCATCGAGGTTCGAGAGCAGCGGAAAGTACATCTACAACCACCAGCGAATGTTGAGAGACATTTTCGACAATACGAGAAGAGCAACATCAGAATTCCCGAGGTTGGAAAGAGCGTGTTCTACCGCTGCTGGCGGAAAACCGGGGGGGGGTCACTACCGGTTCGAACCCCTCCCCCCCCCCCTCCGGAAAACCGGGGGGGGTCACTACCGGTTCGAACCCCTCCCCCCCCCCAGCTCATCATGAAAAGGGGGGGGGGGTCACTACCGGTTCGAACCCCCCCCCCCCCCCCCCCCCTCGAAAACCGAGTGGGGGTGCGGATAGTGGTGGGGGCGGTGTTGGTGGGGACAGTGGTGAGGGGACAGCGGGACAGTGGTGGGGACAGTGGGGGGACAGTGGGACAGCGGTGGGGACGGTAGTGGCGGGGACAGTGGTGGGGACAATGGTGGGAACAGGGGGGACAGTGGACAGTGGTGGGAACGGTGGTGGTGGGGGCAGCGGTGTGGGGACAGTGGGAATGAGGTGGAAACACTGGGACAGTGGAGGGCACAATGGTGGTGGGGACACTGGCAAAGGCGTCGGCGAGGACGGCGGTGGGACAATGGGACAGAGGCACAGTGGGGACAGTGGTGGGGGCAGTGGGGACAGTGGTGAGAACAGTGGGACAGCTCAGTGGGACAGCGGAGGAGTCAGTGGGACAGTGGGGACAGTGGGGATAGGCAGTGGTTGGGTCCGTGGAGACAGTGGGGAGAGTGGAACCGTGGTGGGAACAGTTGTGGGAACAGTGGGGACAGTGCGACAGTGGTGGGGGCACTGGTGGGGACAATAGGGACGGTGGTGGAACCAGTGGGGACAGTGGTGGTGAGGACAGTGGTGCTGGGAACAACAGTGGGGGATGTCATGCGAGCGGTGGTAGGGACCGGGAGTCGTTTGCTGGCGGTGCGTGGGGTGGGGGGGGGGTTTTTCGACCGTAGTGACCTCCTTTCCGGTTTGTCGATGGGGGGGGGGGAGGTGGGGGGGTCCTACGGTGGTGACCCCCCCCGGTTTTCCGGAGCAGGGGAGGGGGGGGGGGTTGGGGGTATACGAACCGGCAGTGACCCCCCTCGGTTTTCAGGGGGTGGGGGGGGGGGGGAGGGGGTTTTGGGGGGGGGGGGGGGGTGGGCCGGGGATGAGTGTGGGGGGAGGGGGGGGGGGAAGGGCGGTTTTCAGCAGGGGGGGGGGGGGGGGATTTCGGGGAGTGGGGGGGGGGGGGGGCCCCGGGTTTTTTTTCGGAGGAAAAGGTTGGCAATTTTCCACAGTAAAGCGGCGGTGGATCACGCTCTCTCCGAGGTTGAGATCATGTTCTTCACGCTGCAGTTACTCGAGCCGATCTACGGCACCGTGGACGCACCACTGTTGTGGCAGTTGGCTCTAGCACTACATGTACTCGACGACTTGAAAGGTGTTCAGAGCGTGTTTGACGGCAATGTGTTCATGTGGGTCAGGAACGGCGAGATAATGATGGTATGGGCAGCCCACGTATACGACATTATTGTTCTAGCAAGATCAGACTGGTTACCTTGGAGTTTAAGTTCTATGAGGAATTGCTTTGGCAAAATCAAAAGACATCAGCTATCCTTCACGCACATGGGCATGGGCTATGAAGTACTTGGAGATGGACACCTATTTTTTCACCAACATGTCTTTACGGAAGGCCTGCAGAAAATCGATATCCCATTGAAGTTCAAGGACAAACATGACCACGAGTGCGACGCGACGTTGACTCGCGACCTGCGATCTGTGCGATGCTCATTGTTATGGCTGTGCCAAATTCGGGAAGATATCTATTGTGATACGGTGCAGCTACAGCAGGTTCTTCGGAAGAGCAACACCGGTCATTTGAAGCAGGCCAATCTCATTGTCGATCGAGCAAAACGAAACATGAAGATGGCTGGACTACACTTCGAACCAAGATCTTATCCAGTCCGCTTGGTTTCAGTTGGAGATGCAGGACATGGCAATACGAAGACAGCATATCCTCAAGAAGGTGCTGCTGTATTCCTCATGGAAGATCATCTGGACCAAGTACGTATCGACAAGAAAGACTTAGTGCACCCCGACGACAGTCGCTTCGTCGGAGGAATGACTCACTCACTGGCGTTTTCATTGGGACAATCAAAAACGGATCGCCCAGTCAACTTGCAATGCAGAGACGAATGGAGGCCACAAGGTCAATCAGACGGCACAGTTCATCGCCCCAAGATTGACTGAGATCATCACATGCACGGAGACGCAGCACAAAGCTACAGACATGATGGAAATATTTGATCGACCATTATATCAGATACGCATTGATCACTGTACGGGCTGTATGGATTTTTGGCAATCATGTTGTGGAGTGGAAAGGTACCATCGGACAAACCAATCAGATTCGCAGTGTTGAGTATGAGAGAGGGACGCCTCAGCGGAAGGATACGTAACTTCATACATTTACCCACCGAGGTAGTCATAGTGGATGGACTGACGAAGACGGGCACATCCAAGCTTTTGATGGAGCACATGACGACTGGAGCATGGCACGTACTTCCACCGAAGGGCAAGTACATCACGTTGAGGAAGATCAACAAGACACAGGATATATATTCAGAACAGGATTTGTTGGACCTCAATGAGTAAGGACATTCAGGAAGTCTCAGGAGAAGAGACAATACAATTTTTTGTTGGGTTCAAGTGATGCCATGGATTCTATGAGTTGTGCTAGAATGCTGTCGCGGATATCGATCTTGATCTTAAGATTGACCCTTGCTAGAATTGTGCAAGACTGCTGTCAATGATCTTGATCTTGATATGGAAGTGATGGCTGGAAATTGGCACTATCATTTTTGGTGGCGCTGACGCGCTTGTCTCTTGAATTTGGGGTTTGAGAGTTTCCGGGGCACTCGAGCCAGAGTGAATATTTAGATCTGAGGTAGGACAGGTGCAGTATCTGTTCTTATCAGAGTATCGTGTGCTGGCTTGGCTTTACACAGCTGATTTTTACATCTGTAATTGTACCCGGGCTCACCGCCACGGGCCTCCCGCCTTGCTCTTGTGCCCACGACGCGAGCAGGTCTGGCCCCCCCCCCGTGCGTCGGCTGCGCGGCTGTGCGAGAAAGCGTGGCCTCGGCGCGATCATTCCTCCTCCTCCTCCCTCCCGCGAGGAGGAGGGGGAGGAGGGATGTAGATGGCCCAGCCGGAGGGAGGAGGGAGGAGGAGGGGGGGGCCCATGCACTTCGGAGGTCCCCGGAGGGAGGAGGGGACCAGGCGCCGTACGCGAGGTGGAAGGAGGAGGAAGGCCAGGAGGAGGAGGAGAGAGGAGGAGAGTGAGAGAACGACGTGACCCGGCTGCAGACGACGCCTGTACAGGGGTCTGCGTCGTCTGCTGCGGGGGGGTCACGTCCTTCTTCTCCTCCTTCTCGGCGCCACTCGGGGTGTCGGACTTCCTCTTCTTCTTCATCCTCTCGGCGACGGCGTGGCGCAAATCCGTAGCCTTCTTCAGCCACTCCTTGACCTGCTCTTCACGATTGGTGAGGAGGTCCTTAGCCTGCTGAAGTTCAGATTTCAGCTTCTCCATGTCACCTCGCTCGGACTCCTCAAAATCTTCCAAGTTGCCAAAGATAGTGGCATCCCAAGACAAATTGAATAACCCAGACTCGCTCCCATTCTTGGGACAGAAGTCGGCCTCGGCCACGCCCTCAGCTTGAGCAAGACGTTTGGCAGCAGCCTGCTTGCTCAGCGTGGCCTCTGCAATGGCGGTGGCCGCTGTCATCTCTTTGTCCTCGGCGGCGGCGAGCTGTTGCCTGAGCCTCATGACTGACTTCGCCGACTGATTGTGCTTGTGTTCTGCATCCTTCCATGCTGAATCGGCACGACGCACTGCTTCCGCTGCAGATTCCTCCCAGACGGGCTCCTGCAGCTCACCCTCGAGCTTGGGCAGCTCCGCCTGCAGGGTGTCGCGCAACTTCGGGTCCGTAGCAGCAGCGATGGCGTTGACCAGGAGCTCCTTCACCGATGGAGCCTTCGTCGTGCCCTGTGCGACAGATCCTTTCAGAATAGACTTCCCTGGTTTGAGCAACTGGTTCATGCCGATATCGAAGGAAACACACTTGGGGGACTTGGACCTGGCCCTGTGGAGGCGGACTTGCTGGCCACACGTCTTGCAAACTCGGCCGTTGCCCTCCAGGATGCGATTCCATTCGCACGTTTTGCAGCTGGCGCACCTGCTCCAGATCCTGGAAGAAAAACCCGACATGGGAACAGCTGGAACGGGGTCTCGTCTGTATACTGCGTCCTGCTTAGCCAACGCGGTAGCGAACCCGATCGCGCCCGCGATGCCACTCAAGCACCGCGCTGAGGTGCAGGACTGGAACTCTGGAGGTGCGGTGGGTAGGCGCGAAGGAAAGGGCGCCCCAGTCCCCGCCCCACCTGCAAGAGCCCCAATTGCTTGAGGGAGGGGGGGGGGGGGGGGGGAGGGAGGGGGGGGGGAGGGGGGGGGGGGCGCTTTAGATCTGAGGTAAGACAGGTACAGTATCTGTTCTTATCAGAGTATCGCGTGCTGGCTTGGCTTTACACAACACTGATATATATATATATATATATATATACATATACATATATATATATATATATATATATATGTAAGTGTACCCGGGCCCAAGCTCTTTAAAATCAGAGCGATCTTCGCTCTGGTAGGGGAGCCGCCCATCGGGCGGCGCGCGCGGCCCCGCCCCGCCAGGCCGCGAGCCGCGATATCATATTTCGTGGACGACGCTACCGACAAGGTGAGCAGCGCTACCGACAAGGTGAGCAGAGCGACCGACAAGGTGAGCGACGCCACCGACGAGGCGAGCATCGCCACCGACAAGGTGAGCGACGCCACCGGCGAGATCGGCATCGAGACCCACAGGGTCTACAACTACCTCAGCGAGGACATCAATATCATCCACTTCAAAGGCTCTACGGTTTGGTGGGACTTCTTATCTTATTGATATCGGGAGCTACCCTTAGTACGAGAGCAGTATACCAGTCAAAGTACACGTACTCCCCGACTCAGAACATATACGGTAAAGCTTACAGACCCCCGATTGAGAACCTACAGATCAGAATGGAGTACTCGAGACCGCAGTCACTACCATTGGAGGGGAGCACGAGACAAGCACCGCCCGGCTGGAAGCCGGGAGTAGCTCGATATGGCATCAAGAAATAGTTGAAGAAGTTATCACAGTGGTAGAAAACCAAAAATATCGATGATGACAGCGTGGCAGCACTCTTGGTACTGCAACGCCTCCAAGGAGGCGCGCACAAACAAGCAATAATATTCAAGGTCGAGAGATATGGTCAATAATTCGCTGGAGAGAACGCCTTTGCAATGGTGCGTACGGAGGCATATCCAGTTCATGGAGCGCTGGCCCAACCCTCGGGCCCGTCGCTATTTACCCGGTGGTTGGAAGCGGAATGCGGATTGCATGATCAAGATGCAGTAGGAGTGGCGCTCGACAAATTCTTTTCATTCAAGAGAGGTCCGAGAGACCTCGGACAATATATATACATATATATATGTATCAGACTTTGAACTAGTGTGTGATGAGGCAGTGGATCAAGCTGGACTCAATATCAACGCGGCTGGCAAGAGCTATTTGTGGCTGCAGGGACGCGACTCATCGGCAAAACGCATTGACGACATCAAGCTCGAGATCGACGGCGACCTCCGGAGATATAATCCTTTCAAAGCTATCATGGCACGTCTTGCCAAACAGTCTCTGGCCCAGAACAATCCTGAGCAATGCGAAGGCTATTGGATCGACTCAGACGATGAGAATTATTGGGAATACTACGGATACTACGACGATTACGGCCAGTGGCATGATTATGATGATGAAGACGACTGGTGGGACTACTCACATGATCAAGAGTACGACGACAACGGCTATTCACCACCGGCGTTGAATTCGGACGAAGCGCACAAAGGATCCGGCAAGGGTAAGAAAAACAATCCAGGTAATCGCAGTAAGTGTGTATCACGCCGGCACAAGACGGAGGATTGCCCGGCTGGTTCCAAGAAGAAGACGAACAACAAAGGCGACAACAACGGCAAAGGTAAGGGCCGATCCGACTCGAACAGCGGCAACAACGGCGAGAACAATGGAACAGGTAAGTACCGCAGTGGCAAGTGTCGCGGCAAAAGCAAAGGGCGAGGAAAAGGTTCTATCGAGGACGAGGCAAAGGTAAGAGTAAGAAGAGCAAGGGTCACAACGGCGAGTACGAGGAATATGATTACGACGATGAATGGCACAGCACTCATGGCAGTTGGTATTCAAAAGGAATTACGGATAATAAGGACACGCCGTGGACAGCCTTGACCTATCAGGAGACGCCCAACGCAGCGTCGTGGTCTTCGTTGCAGACAGTACCCTCATACAGCCTCGATGATCCTGAATCTCCCGACCTAGGACAAGGATTTCCAGAAGGACCCTCGAGATCATTTCCATCCGCACCGACAGCCGCAGCTGAACCAACAACTCCACGACGACCATCGAGGAACAACCAGAAGGAGTTTGGAAAAGATATGGGATCACCGGTCACCTTTGACGACGACGACGACCAGTACGAACCCAAGAGACTTCCCAGAGGTATTGTTCCTGGCGGCTTGGATTTCTTGGTAAGAGAAGTACATAATCTATGTTATGATAAGCGGCACTCGACGACGGATGGCCACCAAGCGGAAGAAATCAACGCGAGTTATCGCACTATTCGAGGTGCGAGAAGGTTTGACTTGTTATACGATCCCGGAGCATCCTCAGGTATTATTGGAACGGATGCGGTTCGGGAGTATAAGAGATAAATACTTCGTGGTGCAGATATCGAGTCAAAACCAACGCGAGGTCAGTTCACCGGCATAGGCGGCGAAAACACTCCAGGCATTGGTAAGGCAGTGGTACCGCTTAAGATCCCAGCCATGCGAGGTGCGACATTCACAGGAGACATGATTAGCGGCATGGAAAGGTGGTGTCCAGGGTCATGCCATTACCGACCTCTCTTCGATATCGAGCGAGCATGTTCGCAGCAGTATTTGGCAACGGTGATGGCATTTTGGTAGTATTTCCAGAGACTCGACGACTCGGCAACAAAGCGCCGCCAGTATGCATGCCATTGTTACCCGCGGGTTCTCGACACTATATCATACCAACGGACCGCCGACATATTCGAGAGGAAGTTGATCAACAATACCTTCGCGATATCAGTAGGGGCCACCTCCAGATCCTCTAGCAGTTCAAGCCAACCCGCTCGGCTGGCCAATCGGCAGAGTTTCAAGTCGTTGAAGCACCTTTGGACACTAGCACTGGAGCGAAGTCTACGAGCTTTGCAGGACATGGTTCGGAACTACCCGAGGAAAACATCATGAAGCAGTTGAGTGACCTGGGACAAAGGATGGGCGACCTTCGAGAGCGCATTAGATCACCGACTCATCCAGGGACACACCACTTCGTAAAGGCCAAGGCCGAATTCTCGATACGCAAGTGCGACGACGACGACTGCCCCTCAAAGCATCAATACCCGACGAGACGAACCACCATCACGAAGACCCAGCGTTTTTGGAAGACCTGGAGCGCCTTCAGGGGTAAGTATTACACGGGAGACATTATCCCAGAAGGTCTGGATCAAGCCCAACAGGATCGCTTCGAGAAGAATCACCACGTCATTCCGGAAAGATTCTGCACCAAAACAAAGGTCGTGATGATCACGCCCCAGAACGCAGACAGCTTTCTGAAGCATTTCAGGGAGAACAACGTGACGAGCGCGGACATACAAGAGCATTTCACTGGCAGCAGTACGTTATCCTTCTGTGCGTATCGAAGCGACCTCTCGGCACTATTTCCTACGGATGCTCGATATGGTTGGAACTTGAGTTCGAGGGGGCATCCAGAAATTTTCAAACGTTCCCAGGAGGCCATTCGAGATCAGGCTAAGATCCACACTCCAGAATGCACACCTTGACCCCAGGCAAGCCAGACGGCTGATCCCAATATCAAAGCAGCAAACCGAGTAGCAGATGAACCAGCTTTTCAGTGGATTACGAACGAGAGCAAGACGACTCATACCGACGGCACCGACTACATCATTGGGAACCCGGCCAAGAGCGCCATATGGGAGGAATCGCCACTGGAGGAGTGGAAGACTGACGAGCGGATGTACAACGACATATGCGAACAATGTCAACATGGGGCGCAAGACTCAGAAGGAACGCCGATTCAAAAGAGAACAAAGTTCATGGCATCATTCCGAATGAGACGAGCATCAGTTTTATGTCAAAGTGTTCGACCTCATGCGTGGCTTGTCGGAGGATCACAGACGTCCAGGGCCGAGATATTCACTGGGCAGTTTTGCAAAAGTATTCTGAAAGATATCGGCAATAGGATAGAGATAACTCAGAGGACGCCACTGGACCTATTATCTTGGACGCGTGATCGCTGTAAGCATGGAAATATGGCCGGCACTCCGCACGCTCGAGTGAAGGGCTGCAGGTTCGATCCCAATCGTGGGCCTCCTAAGGCGGCCGGGCCACCTCCAGCACCAGTCGCGCCCAATGCCCCAGCGCCAGTCCCGAAAGTACTTGCGCCAGTTCACGCGCCATTTCAAGCGCCAGCTCCAGGGCCACCTCCAGCACGTGCGCAGGCACCTGAAGTACCAGAACCAGAACAACCCATACCAGCACCATCTCCAGGACTTGATCTCATACGACTGGACACAAGTGAAAAGGGCGATGCCACGGACCAACCAGGAATCAACGCAGAATCGTCGAGAAGGCGGCCACCATCAAGCCCAATTTCGACTTACAGCGCTCCAAACATCAACTCGAAGAGGCGGCTTCGGATCAAGCGAGTCTGGCACTACTACTGGGATTTCATTTCAAGCTCTGGCATGCGACCCCAGATGAGATGGCGAGATTGCTAGCAGCACTGGGAGTGGGAGCAAGCATTATCAAGCTTTGCCCACAAGCTGTCAAGGAGCTGTGCGAAGGATGTAGGAAGTACTTCATGCCACTTCACCGAGCGGCATTCAGGGCACATATCACGACGAAGTTCAACGAGCGAGTTCAAGAAGATCTCTTCTTGCTGTGGGATATGGCATGGCTTATTCTGGTGGGCGAACATATTAGGTACAAGGTCATCGGCGTGATGAAGGACAAGACCGCACCATAATACTTGCGCTGCATGGTAGAATGCTGGATCAGATTCTTCGGACCCATGGAAACATTCGTTTCAGATCAAGAAGGTTCCTTGACTTCAGATCTCGTGGGAACCACACTGGACATACTCACTATCAAACGAGAGTTCGCATGTACCGACCCGAACAAGGAGATCAAAACCATTATTGGTTTGGTGGAATGACACATTCGAATGACCAAGTCGATCACCCTGAAGAGCGCAGTTGTAGCCGAAAGGAAGGTGTGAACATCTCCCAGGAGACCCTAGTCTATGAGGCAGCGATGGCACATAACCTCCTCCTCAACTTCGGTGGCAGTGCTCCGGCCAACGCTCTCCTCGTCTACACTCCTCGAGATTTCTATGGCGAGAACTCGGCGACGACCATGGCACATAAAGAAGCATAGGAAATCTCACCAGATACATTCGAGTCAAATGTTTGAATGAGATTGCGATCAAAGCAAAATGCGCCCAGGGCGATCGTGGAATAACGGCTTGCTATTGCCAACAAATCCAGACCACAGAAGCTCGACACGGAGACGATCAAGGTCGGCGACCAGGTGGACTTGCATCGGACCCCGAACAAGAAGGATCAGGGGGGCTGGCGCGGACCTTGTGACCTACTACACGTCGAAAGTACTGGAGCTACTGTGGTATGGAATGGCTACCCCTACGTCGTCCCACTTAGACACATCAGGCGTCATCAGCGCCTGACGGCATGGGTTTCCTGTCATCAACGCCAACACTCAGTGCTTTCATCATCAATGCACTTGGTCACGGACTACACCGACATGCTGGACATCGCGGAAGGCACGGTACCGTTCAAACCACAAGTGGTTGGAATGACTGTTGGCAACAATGGCGAGTTTCAACCATCATCGAGCATGGGCGGCTCTCCACCGCTGATCTGGAACCTGGCTGTTAAGTGCGCTGAGGACGAGTGGGGCATCAAGATCGATGGCATCGCGTTTGGCAGGTGCGCACGCAGATTGTTCACAGCGACTGGAACAACATTCGGCCGACAAGTTACCTGGGACTGCGCGCGGCGAGAGAAGTGCGTTATGACAGACATCAATCCCAGCAGGCAAGTTTTGGACATACTCTCTCTCGTCAAAACCATGAAAGACACGAACAGCTGCAGCATTCTTTTCTATTCATTCACCTCCATTCAGGAGGGCGACGAGACCGGGCTGTACAGGATCCCGGACTTCTCGGACATATCATCTATTCCTCCAGATGACGACGATGACCTAGACTTACCACTCCAGTGGCCATAATCACCTGAACCAGCATCAGCGAGACACCATGCGCCACCGGCACCACCGACAGCAGTTCCCAAACATGGACCTCAACCAGTTCTTGTCGAACCATTCTCGGACGGAGGGCCACCGCCAGATCCACCTGGCCCCGGACAAGCTATCGCCGCGGCGCCAGTTCCAATGGAGTTCCACATCAGTGACGCAGCATGGCCAGACGGAGAGGTCAGCACCATCGACGTCAATAATATTCCACCGAGACCACCTTTTCCTCCACGAGCACCTCAACGAGCACGCATCAGGAATGACGACAGTTGGCAAAATAATCAGCGAACCAAAGAAGACACACACACCAAGACATCGAGGTGGACGATCACAGTATGATCAGTGACGAGCAGTTCGCGCCAGAGGTTTGAGGATCGGGAGCTCCACCACCATCGCCTCCAGCGACTGATCAAAGGATCCCACAGCAGACCTTTGGATGGAGACCTCCACTGCCGACGACTACAGCAACGCCGCAGACTCGAGCAATGCCGATGCCAGTCCGACGGGAACTCAGCAGATCACTTCCACTACGCCGAAACGAACCTGGCACCTCGAGCTCAGCAGGCTACTATCCACCATCGAAGGAAGCAGATTCGACTAACAAGGTACATACTCCGACGACGACAGTAACACCGGCAAGGACTACGATAACACCCACGGAATCTTCTTCACCCAAAGCCTCATCTCCAGCCTCAGCAACCTCACTCTCCTCTCCCCAACTGGCAACGTCGACGGCAACGCCGACGAATATCACGAATGACCCTCAAGCAGCTAACTCACCTCAGAGGCCTCTTCCCATAATTTCCACTCTTCCGACTAGAGTGGCACCGGCGTCCCCAGCAGCGACTACGCCAG